TGGAGGAATTAGACATTAGACTCCTGTTATGATATTAAGGGCTGCACTTTAATTCCCTGTATTCTGCACTGAAAAATTCCACCAAGCTCAGCTGACATCAGCTGAATATTATGAACAAGACCATACTATTTGAGAAAGATCTGGTAAAAATACCACTTTTTTCACAATTTGTTTTCATCTGTTATTACTTGTTTGCAGCAATGAGCTCAAAAACATTAAAGATATTACTTCAACCCCTTAATCCATAAGGGAAACCAAACATCAAAATATTGCAGCCTCTGCTCTTAAAATAGACTCAGTCGGGGTAGGTAATAATTTTTGTCAAAGTCCAAATTCCTTGGTCAAGGTATAGTCAAACTCCTGACTCCAGAGAAAATAATAAAAACCATCCGTAAATAAATACAACTATTGTGAAGTCCATACAAAAGTGGCTGGTGATTTGGATTTCTGTCCACCTATTTACTACCTCTGTTCTAAACACACTATTAATAAAACATCATTGGGGGGGGAGCAAGGAAATTGCTCCAACTTAATCTTAAAGCACATAAAACACTTAAAGGAGGGCAGGCAAGCAGCTGCCTCATTCCCGCTTCTTTACTACTCCAGAAGGCCCAAATGTGTCAAGCTGAAATGAGTTCCTTTTCCCCAGTGTCCAACCACCATTGCTGGAAAGGCTATTGTACCCAGCAATCAATAAATGTAATATTCCCAATCCAGGTACATTAGCACATGAGTGGTTAAAGTTACTTTCAAGCTAAAGTTTGTGCACTTTAGTCCCTTGGTTGTTTTGTTAATTTTCAATAGAACATCAATGAGAAAATGACCCAATCTACCTGTCACCCAAGTGGTTCCTTTGACAGGAAGTCCCTCCACACCTACTGTGACATGCAGCAAACTGATAAAGTATGTGCATTAATGAGCCTGAATCAATTGTCTACATTTTGATATCAAGTGGTAATTTTAAACATCCAATGAATTCCTAACTAAGCTTTACAAAACCAAAGAGACATCTACATATTAAGAACTACAGAAGCAGTATGAAGTTGATAGGTGAATAAGTTTAAACATAAAGAATCAAAAAGCATTAGGAAAGTCTGAAGAAATGAATAGAAATATTTAAGAAACTCTCTCTGAAATTCCTCATGTAAAGTTCTCCCAATGTCTCCAGATAAATTCTACTAGGAGATAGTATCTGGGATGTGAAAATGTTGATGGATTGCTTAGGTTGGCAGGGAGGAAGGGAGATACTAAGAAGTGGGCTTAAAATGGAAAGCAACTGCCAACCAGCACTATTTAAAGAAGAGTGATAGAAATGTAGCCATGTTAGTCTGGTGTAGCTGAAACACAAAATTCAGGATAGAGCACTAGAAATAATGTTTTGTACACAAGTTGATTCTTTGGCCTTTTCTTCACTGCATGCAAGCCTCATGTTTAACACCACCACCCTGCACTTGCTCAAGCTCAATATGTAGTTATGCTATCAAATCCTGTTGGCATATATCAGGATGATCCTTGGTCCTCTAAAATCCTACTTGGCCCAGATATTGTGTTATTAGGGATATTAGGGAGTGTGGGGGGAGGCCTGACACTGTTGCCACCCATGCCAGGCCCTCCGGTAATCCCCTAGGTTGCATCACTTGGGGGAGAGGGCTTTAGGGAAGGGTTGCCCTGCAGGGAGAAGGCAGAGCAGAGGCAAGGAAAGGGTGGAGAGGGGGAGTGCTCCAAGCCCCACACCTCCCAGGGATGAGCCAAAGTAGATGAGCATGAATATGCCATGATGGTCTACAAGATCCTGCACCTTTTCCTGTTAATACACTTATTCAATCCAGGTGGGATGAATATACATATTGTTCCTTTTGCCCACCCTCATCATGCCTGTGTAGTTTGGGAGCCCATCCATTCAAATACATCCTACAATTATTTTAGGAATATTTCCAATTTTACGAGTCTGGGGATCACACATTATTAATGGCCTTGCTAACGTCAATGACCATTGCACCATTCCAGGGTGGAATTTTGGGAGGGAGCGAGCTCACCAGCCAGGTGTGAGAGGCATGCACGGAATGCAAGTCCTTTCCCCTCACTCCCTTAGTATCCAGGGAACAGGATGAAAAGCAAGCCGCACCCTGGAGCGTATGGCTGATTCCCCCACTACCTTTCTGAAATTCCGCCCTTGACTCCTTGCCCAGAAGTGGTTCTCTGCATAGAGGTAATCTTCCATTACAAACAGCATCAACTCAATCCATACTTCCACATGGAATCAGTAGTTGTTGTTGTGCTATTCCTAACCATAATCTCCTGCCCCAGAAAACCCTGCTACCATCTCCTAATGGCAGCTTATATAGAAGCAAAAAAACAAACAAACAACTAAAAACAAAAACCACACCACTATCTCAATAAAAAACAATAGTTCTCAAGGCAGTCATTACAGCAAGCAGGAACCATATCTCAGCACATGGCAGAACACCAAACTGCAAACACAAGTGTGGTATCTAGGGCCCATTATACTTTCAATGGTGCTTCTGCCAACTTTAGCATTATTTTTAGCATGAGTTAAAAACAAAGTTCTTTTAAGCTAAACATTTTGGCAGCCAAAATATTGATTCCAATTATCTCAAACATAGAATGCCAAAAACCATAATAACTCTCAATCATCATCAAAGTTCAGGCTTCTAACTCATGCAATCACGAGATCTCTCTATTGGAAAACTTAGAACAGGTCAGACTGAGTGTGATTGCACACTTTTTGATGCATATACAGTTCTAAAGGGCTGAAACACAACAAGAGTCAATAAAAAACTACCACCTTCAGATCTTACAGGAAAACCCTATGAACAACAAAACTCTGCCTAAGCTCCCTCCTGGTCTTATTATTTCTTAAGTAAAGAATAAAAAAATTCTAAGAAAAGGAGTGTGTTTTGGACATTAATCCCGTTTATATGTGCTGTCTGGAGAGCAAGATAAGGATTCTACACGTTCACAATTAGCATTATATCCTAACTATAAGAGCCAAAGTAAAATTAGGTAATTAAATATTTTCACTTTGCAGCTCACAAATGCATCTGGAATTTCTATATAGATAACATGTTTAAAGTTTGATCCATTTGTACAATTCACCAATGTATATTTTCATGGCTTTTCATTTTAGTTACATTGAAAGAAAACTAAATGTCAAAATTTACAAGCTGTATCACATGCAGTTCTAAGGTCTGATCCTAAGAGGTGCTCCATGGGGAGTAAGAGCATTCAAGGCAATGCTGTTCTTCTTAAAGGTTGTATGTACTTTCAACAAGGCACATCAAATACATTCACCACTGATCAGAACAGATAAGAAGCATATGGCAACCCATGCAAGCTGAATTCTTCAAGTGATATCTTCCTCGGGAGCTAAAAAAATCTCATCTCAGAATTAGCTGAAATATGTTATAAGTTTGTTTCAACTTAGTTTTAAATAAACTCAAATAAATAGGAACTCTGGTCTTATTAACCCGCTCACTGTTTTATCATTGAGCCTACCTAAAGAATCTGAAATCTTCTAGTTGGTATATACACATTTGGAAGTTACACATTACAGTACATACACTACAATGTTAAAATATGCTTTACAAAAATCTGATCATGTTAAATTGAACAATGATGCCATGTAGTTTTAAAATAAAGCTAAGATATTTTAATATAAAGCCAAGACATTAATAAAAAATACAAATTTTGAATGTATTTTCTTTCCTTTCCATTTACTCCTGATGAAGACAACCAAAATGTGATTTTAACTTGAGTGGAAGGATTAATGTAAAATATAAAGTTGGGTAATTTAATTTAAAGTTGTAAGTGCAAAGTATTTATTTAGATTTTGCAAAACCCAGCTGATTCCAGAAAGTTAAGAGCCACCACTGTTTAAATGGAAAATAAAAGATATATATTTGTAATTCATTCAAATTATTTTAAAAAGTCTGCGGTCTGATTTTACCTGTAAGTTAGCTTTTGCCTTCCTAGCTGAAAAGCTGGTTTATAGAAAGTGTCAGAACACTCTCACATTATCAGTTGGCACTAATATTAGTTACACATTAATATCTCCTGTCTAAGGATAGAAGGTACCATGGTTCTGTTTTCTGCAAAGAGTACAGCTTCGCAAAGGCTCTTTTGACCTCACATTGTGACCCTCATACCAGCATCCACAGGCAACAGGTCATGACCTCACGAATTAGCATCATGGAAATAAGGGCCATTTCAGGTTTAGTTACAGAACAGAACAGTGTAGCAATACACTCTTCAGTCTTTTCTCTTTCTAGCTGCACTGTACAGCTTTAACTCCTCAAGAAGACAATACATAACACAAACTTCACTTTTCATTACTAGCACTCTAAATCTTGTTCTCCTCTGCTAAAAGTATGATTGCCCTGCTACAAATGAAAACATTCATTCAGAATGGATCAAAAGTCAATATCATATAGTCGTTAAATCAGCCTATTAAAAAGTAAGAGATATCACTGTAGAAGTGAAGACTTTAGAATCTATCCTTGACAAAAAAAGATCAAATAAATGATCACTATTAATGTGATTACTGCCAAAGTAGACTGTTTTGCGTACACGTTCTATGAGAAAACATGAATTATATAGTTCTAGACAATATCGAGTTTTCGTTTATTAAGTCATCTATATTTAAGACATTCTATTTATATTAAATTTAAATTCTAGCTACATTTCTAAACAAGACTCTTTATTAGTAAACTTCTTCCTATGGTGCATTCATGAAGTTAGTTATTAAATGAGTGAGATATTAGCACACAAACTTTGAAGCACAGATTTTCGGAAGCTTTTAGTTGTTTTGCTCAGCAGGGGGAGCTAGCATCCTCATCCTTGAGAGTCAATCAATGCACAAGCTAGAGAGTTGAATGTAAATGCTTTTAAATACATGTTCAGTAAGTTTATTCAACTAAGAGTCTGTCTGTAAGCAAAGTATTTAAGTCATACCACAGGGAAATAACATATTTTATATTTACCTTTATCCTGGAAATCTTGAGGGTAACTGCAGGGGAAGGAGAAAAAAAAAGACAATATAAAGCAATATGCATTTGGAAAGTCTTGCTATGTAACAAAGCCAAATACAGAAAAATTATTAGTACCAAATAACAGTTTTGTGCCACACAAGTAGTGCTGCTGCAAATGTATGTCACAAATTTTCACCTTTATTTTGAAAGCCTTATCCTCCATGCCTATATTAAAACATTTAATCAGGTCTTCTTTCAGTGTTTTTGAACTTGTGAGCATAATTATCATTTTAAAGCAATTTCATGGTATAGTGACAAATAAAAAACTTCAGTTAAAACAGATTCAGGTGAAATAATAAAAATACTTTTTTTAAAAAGATGTTAATACATTTGATCAAATAGCTTATGGTAAGCATATTATATAACATTTACTTTTCCATTATCTTCCCAAATATTAATACCATATTTTAAAATATCCCTATATAAATCAAAGACATTTATCAGAAGTTACATACCACAATCTTTTACATGTTTTATAATGAACACACTGTGACTCACCAGCAAAGAAACAAAATCTGGATTTGTTTTGAATATTTTAGCAGGATATAAAAACCAAAATGGATATACATAATCTATTTGTTAATTAAGATATTGATAAGCATTTACATATAATAGTTCTTTAAATACATATTCATGGTAATCAGGGCTTTAAAAAGTTACTCAACTCTTATACAGAATCATACGTCTATACCTCTTATACCAAGAGATATGTCATACCTATATAGCTGCTGTAAACTTTTAAACTATGTTAATTATAACAACATACATGATATGCTGAACAATGCAAGAGAAACTTCGTGTACATTCATAAGAAATGGAGGAGTAGAGTTTGGAACATGTTTTACTGTGGAAAAATACACATGCATTGCCATCTCCCTCAAAGTCATGACCCATACAACATACATGAACAAAACAGTTGCAGGGTGCAGTGACGCATTAAGATACAAGGATAAATAAGTAAGGAAAAGTCATTGTTATGTATGGCTTTAACTGGAATCTCAGGAAGCTTGAATTTGAGTAGGTGCAAAAACAGAAGCTGATTAGAATGACTGGCAAGTAAGGGATCTTAACAGCTGCATTTTTGTATGGACCAGAAAAGGTAGTGCAAGTGTCAGTAAACCCAATGAGGTGACGATTAAAAACAATGAAAATAAGACTCAAGGAGGCCCTGAGTGAGAATCTTAGAAATGTAAGCAGAGGGAAAAAAGGCTAAATCTAAGAAACATTGTACAGGCAGTCCCCGGGTTACGTACAAGATAGGGACTGTAGGCTTGTTCTTAAGTTGAATCTGTATGTAAGTCGGAACTGGCGTCCAGATTCAGCCGCTGCTGGTCAGTTTCAGCAGCGGCTGACTTGGGGACGCCTGGGGCAGAGCAACTCTGCCTCGGGCTTCCTGTAGTCAGCGCTGGTCAGTTTCAGCAGCGGCTGACTTGGGGACGCCTGGGGCAGAGCAACTCTGCCTCGGGCTTCCTGTAGTCAGCGCTGGTCAGTTTCAGCAGCGGCTGACTTGGGGACGCCTGGGGCAGAGCAACTCTGCCTCGGGCTTCCTGTAGTCAGCGCTGGTCAGTTTCAGCAGCGGCTGACTTGGGGACGCCTGGGGCAGAGCAACTCTGCCTCGGGCTTCCTGTAGTCAGCGCTGGTCAGTTTCAGCAGCGGCTGACTTGGGGACGCCTGGGGCAGAGCAACTCTGCCTCGGGCTTCCTGTAGTCAGCGCTGGTCAGTTTCAGCAGCGGCTGACTTGGGGACGCCTGGGGCAGAGCAACTCTGCCTCGGGCTTCCTGTAGTCAGCGCTGGTCAGTTTCAGCAGCGGCTGACTTGGGGACGCCTGGGGCAGAGCAACTCTGCCTCGGGCTTCCTGTAGTCAGCGCTGGTCAGTTTCAGCAGCGGCTGACTTGGGGACGCCTGGGGCAGAGCAACTCTGCCTCGGGCTTCCTGTAGTCAGCGCTGGTCAGTTTCAGCAGCGGCTGACTTGGGGACGCCTGGGGCAGAGCAACTCTGCCTCGGGCTTCCTGTAGTCAGCGCTGGTCAGTTTCAGCAGCGGCTGACTTGGGGACGCCTGGGGCAGAGCAACTCTGCCTCGGGCTTCCTGTAGTCAGCGCTGGTCAGTTTCAGCAGCGGCTGACTTGGGGACGCCTGGGGCAGAGCAACTCTGCCTCGGGCTTCCTGTAGTCAGCGCTGGTCAGTTTCAGCAGCGGCTGAATCTGGACGCCAGTTCCGACTTACATACAGATTCAACTTAAGAACAAGCCTACAGTCCCTATCTTGTACGTAACCCGGGGACTGCCTGTATAGAAAATAGCAATGTTTGTACACCGCCTAGATGAGGCAAACTGGTTGGAAGAATCAAAGATGACTCCAGCAAAGAGACATTATGAGGCATGGATGATAATTAGAACAGTGAAGTTAGCAGTGATAAAAGGTGGAAATGGGAGAATTTGGAAATAAAGATAAGGAAATCTTGGGCTCCATTAGAAAAGCTTCTGTTCGCTTTAATTGGAGTCAGGATTTCACTGAAGGAGTTCAGTTACTTGCATGCTGAGTCTCAGTCCATAAGACAAGACCCTCAGGAGAAAACAGAGGTAGGACTGGATAGAAAGAAACAAATCAGAAGTCAAGAGTCATCTCTAGAAAAGACAGTCAATAAGATCACATAGAATAAGTTGTAGAGAAAGACCACCAGAACTTAGGACAGAGGCCTCAGGAATCCCCAGAGAAAGTGGGGGAGAGAGAAGGGGAGGACTGACCATCAAAAGATATACTAAATGAAGAGAACGGTGTAGGGGAATCTTAGATTATAAACATTTGGGAGCTGGTTCTGTATCTTCCTCATTAGAACAGCACTGAGTACACTGTCACCACTCAGTTACACTATCACTGACGTCTGTAAAGGAGTAGGTCATGAGTGCCAAGGGATGGATATCAGGCAGGAAGGAGCAATCCCTGTGAAAAAAAAGCTATGGAGAGGCTGAGGAGAAGAGTAACAAGCACAAGGACATATCCTAATACAAGATATAATATACTGCAAAATAGATTATTTTTTCCAGTATGTGTAAAACTAGGGCCAAATCCTCCTCACCCATATAGTTTGACTGAAGTTAGAGGATATATCTAAGGGTACGTCTACACTGTGTGGCTATTTCGGGATACTCCGCATTTACATAAGCCGACTGGTCTTTCAAAATATTTTTCAAAATAACAGGCATGCTATTTCGCTATCCCGATAAACCTTGTTGCACGAGGTTTAAGGGATGGCTAGAAATAGCGCATTATTTCAAAATCTGGCACTGTGTAGATGTGCCAAATTTCAAATTTCAAAATAGATTTGAGATAAGATATGCAATTTGTATGGCGCAAATTGCTTATCTTATTTCGTGTTCAGGGTGCTGTGTAAACGCAACCTAGGTCTCAAATCATGCTGTCTGAAACAACATTAAGATGACAGCTTTGTCTGGTTTACACTGCACTTAACAGTTTTTCATTATCAGTTTAAAGTAACTTGTTACTTAAAATTATTTTCGGTAACTGTTAAATTTTCTAGCGTAGACAGGGCTAATGAGAGAACAGATTAAAGGAAATAGAAGTCAGTGGATGTAGTTATTTCAACTTACATCAACTGAGACGCTAAGCCAATGAAAATAATCGTTTAACTACAGCAAGCACCCTGAAAAAGTTCTCCCAAAACACAATTTTTTATGTTTTAAAGAACTCATTAGTCAGAGGAAGATAAGCCCTGATCCCACAAAGGAATCTATACCAGTAGACACCTGATGCCACCATTTCCCACTTAAATAAATTGAATCCTGGGGGGATTCAATTGAATCAAAAATATAGACCCCTTTGCAGAGTATCCATATAAAATTCCTTGCTAAAAACAGAATAGTTATCAAAAGAGCAACAAGTTATTACTAATAAATTCAAATAGTAAAGATAACTTACTTAGCCTTCACCTCTTTTATCTTCTTAATAAGAGCATCCTTTTTCTCCTTTGCTCTCTTGGATAAATTTTCTCCTTTTAGGGTATCAGATATAAATGTGTCAACATCTAAAACACACACACAAAAAGTTACACATTATAGAGTGAAAAGGGATAAATGTTCTGAAGATAAAAATCCCCATAATAGATTGTTCTGATATCATCACTTAGGAACAAACTTATTTTTCAGCCCTATGCATAACGTAGTAGAAGTACTTCAAACTCTAAAATGGATAAATTTGTTCTTTGCCCTACTTATGCTTAGTGCAGCAAATGCTGTTCTGACATTTGGCATCATTAAGGGTGAGTCTGCACTGCACCCATAGCTCAAAATAAACTATGCAATTTGAGCTATGCAAACTGTGTAGCTTATTTTGAGTCTATTTCGAAATAGCTTATTTCAAAATTTGGCTCTAACACAGCACTTATTTCGAAATAAATCACTATTCCAAAATCTCCCTTATTCCTCATGGAATGAGGTTTACAGGGTCAGCGGAATAGTGAGCCCATTATATTTCAAAATAACAGGCACACTCAAAAGATATGGAATAGCTATTTTAGGATAACTCTGGTATCTCAAAATAGCGGCGCAGTGTAAACATGCCTAAATGAACAAGAATTACACAAGACTAAATAAAGCAGGGTCCTATGGCAAATACCTTCTACCACTTATGGTACAAAGCTAAAACAGAAACATTATTTTATAACTAGCCACTTAGCCCGTCATAAAACGGGATTTTCATGTCTTTCCTCCATGTCTGTCTTCTCTCCTGAGCCTCCAGTCTCCTGCTCTGTGTCTGTCTGTCTGTCTGTCTGTCCTCCTCCGCCGCCGCCTCTCTCTCTCTCTCAGCTCTCTTCCCCCTCCTGCCTCTCACTCGGAGGACCGTGGAGTCTAACGGCCGTTTGGGCTCTGCGCTTCCCGTGCTGCCTGGGGAGTGCAGGGCCCAAACAGTCCCTTGTGCCACTTGCTCCCATGCGGCGGCCCAGGTGAGTGGCGCAGAAGTCAGCCAAGCGCCACTGTGGGAGGCGAAGCGGGGCAGGGCGGTGACGTTCACGGCCAGGGGGTGGGGCCTGGAGCTGCTATCACACCGCACATCACCACCCCGCCCCTCCTTCGCCTCCCACTGTGGTGCTCGGCTGACATCTGCACCGCTCAGCCAGGCCGCTGCCGGGGAGCCCAAATGGCCGCTTGCTCTGCTTGCTCCCCCGTGGTGGCCCGGCTGAGCAGCGCAGAACTCAGCCGAGCGCCACGGCGGGAGGTGAAGGACATGACTCAGGCAACAGCGCCACTCAGAGGGAACAGCCAGCATTTCAGTGTTACAGAGTCTCAGATATTGGGCTACTATATATATGATTTTAAATTTCAAAAAAGTGGCTGAGTCCTTTACAATTTTATAGCAGAACCAGGGTAGGTCACTACAGATATGGATCAGTTGCTGATTCCTTATAAATTCAATTTGCAGATGTTTATATGTTGCCATTGTGCCCTGTATTTGGGCTAATATCAAAGGCCTGCTCCTGCAAATAGTTATACATGTGCTTAACGTAACATAATTGGAACCCTCAGAAGTCAACAGAATTACTCATGTGCTTATAGCACTTGTGCACTTGCAGAATCAGGACCCAAGTTGTAAGCTGCAATTAAAAATGTAAAAGTTTAACCAGTTAACCCAGGTGTGGACATTAACTGTCCCGCAGGCCAGAACCAGTTCACCAGGGTTAGTCCCTGGTGGGCTACCGTCACTTAATTTACCTGTGCCTCTGCAGGTACAGCCTTAATTACAGATCGCTGCTGGCCAATGGGAGCTGCAGGAAGCAATGTCCAGGTATGCACCGCTTCCTGCAGCTCCCATCATCCAGGAACGGTGATCTGCGGCCAACAAGCACTGCAAGCGCCCACACTGAGAGGTGCAGGTAAGCAGCAGCAGCCTGATAGGTGCTAACTCTGCCATTTTATTGCCCACTCCTGGATTAACCAATAAGATGATGCTTATTGGTCTCTGTTAAGGGTTAAACTTTGCTAGGGTGCGCAGGGCCAGGAGCCCTCCAGCATCTCTCCTCTATCTCTACATCTCCAGGTAACACGTTTAACTGTGTAACATACTATTTTTATGCATTTTTACATCGCTAGCTGCAATGCATTTTTTTTGTTCTTAAAGCAAAAAATGAATTCATTATATTATTTAGAAATGAACTGTTTAAAAGCAATATTGCTTTGTTGTATGAGAATTTTTTCCCACTCCAATCAAGGAGGCTTGATCATTTAAAAATTAATATTTATTTCCCTATTCTTTTAGTCTCAAAATGAATATCTTATTTCATATTGAAAAAAACTATTTTATTTACATACTGACTTTAATAGACCTAATCCTTCCATCTTTCCTTGGGTAAAGCTCCCAGTCTACTTCAGTGGGTATCCCTACTCCTGCATAATTGGGCTCAAAAGTCTCATTTTTAATTGTACCAGAACAAGATAATCTGAACTTTCAATGCAACTTAACTAGCAGCATTCCAAACACTTACATGTAGCAGCACCAACTCCAACTACACTGTTGTCAGGTTAGCAAGTTCAACCAATATAAGGCTCCAAACTAAAAATTACCTCACATGGTATTCCAACCCAACAGCCATAATATATGTGACTTGTGGATATAAAGGAGTGTCAATGAAAGGGCTTACTGTGGTTTTGATGCTCAGATTTGATTTCACAGATTTCCATAACCACAGTTACCATGGAAAAGCTATTAATATCACACCTAAATTGGTATGTCTATGTCTTATCTGAAAATTACTAAATTCAAACAGCAGTTTTGTTAAAAACTTTGCATATTTTCAATATGCACAAAGACGGTCAAATTCTCCCCAATCTCCCATTCATATGCAACTCCACTTAAATGAATAGTACTGCATGCAAGTGAAGTAAGAATTTAGCCCATAAGATGATAGAGTGAGTACTCACTGTTTCAATACCCTTATGTTGGTTCGCACAAAGTAAGGTTAAGATTGGAGCAGTTTTAGTCTGTAGGAGAGTTAGTTACAGAATATAAAGCAAATATTCTGCTTCATTATTTTAAAATAAAGACATTGCATTTAAATTCCCTAGCTTCAGTATTTAATTCCCTATTTTAAACTTTCTTCATAATGAAAATTTAACTGAGCATGATGCACTTTGCATTTTGTGCTATAGCAGAATAAATTAAGACAAAAAATTATTGTTGAAAAAAGTAGTTTTGTCACTAGAAAACAAATATAGCCACCGCATTTTTGGAGATTTAGATTAGAATACTATGCGGCAAAATCTTGAGGTTTTTGGATGTCTAAACAAGTGTTTTTTTCCCCAAGAGGTTAATAGCCCTATCCATCTCATGTACCAGAGCAGCCTTCAGAGTAGCTGAAGTCTTACTCCTGAAATGCTCCTTCTGCACAAGGGCAGACACAAAAACCCAATGAGTTACTGTAGTTGCAACTCCCCCAGGCTCAACCATAAAAATGTTAGCATCACTTTGCCCTAGAATCTGGACCCATTCAGAAGCTCCAAGGAGGCTGCACCTCTTCTTCTGAAGTACAATTGGGATGCTGTCCTGAGGTAGATTCCCATGCAGTCAAAGGGCCTGATCCTGTTCCATTTAAAGCATCAACATAATATCCAATGACTTCAAACAGGAGCAGCAAGTGTTCAGAAATTCTCTGAATCAAATCCCAAAGGTTCTGCTGTGTGCAGGGAAAGGAAGAAATGGGTTTGGTGGACCCTTTGCCTTCTATAGATTTACTCAGGCCACATGTCAGCAGCTTTGAAGTTCTATTTAAAAAGCAATATGCAACGGCCCAGTGTCGCTGGTCACTTTTGTAAACAGAAAGTGATGTTTACATTGTAACCTTTAAACCCTCATTGGATTCATTACAGCAGTAGGCCTTTGGAACCACCAACTAAACTCTGCAGACCACCATACTCTTTATTGAATTCCAAACCCAAGCAAAAATACCATCATCCAAGTCACTTCTTATCTGTCAAATGTGTGTTATAATTACAGAACAACAAATACCACTTTTGTCTTACAGTGGTTATCAACTTATTTATCATTATGGGCTGCAGGAAGCAGGGCAGCAGTGGATCCTGCCATGGGGAGCTGGCCAATTGCCCTAAACCCCCACCACACAGTTTCACTGGATCCCCTCCCCAGAGCTTGCAGGGCCAGACCCTCTCCCTAGAGATTGTGGGGCCAGATCTCCTCTCCCGAGTTTGTATGGCCAGACTGCTTGCCTGTACATCTTGGGTCCAGGTGGCTGCCCTGACCTCAGATCCCTGCCGTGCAGGGTGGGCCAGCAGCCCCGACCCCACTGGGCTGGCGTAGGGCAGCCAGGAACACAGACCCTGCCACATGGGACAACCTTTAGAATAAAGCTGAGCTGGCCTGCAGCTGTGTGCTAACTGGGCTGCATGCGGGCCCGTAAGCCACTGCTTGAGATCCGCTGACAAGCTATGCAGTGTACCTCCAACTTTGTTGGGAACGAATGTCCGTACTGTAGACATAATACATCCTTTTTAGAGGAACTTAGAAGAATGTGAAAACAAAGATGAAAATACAGCTTGCAATCTCCTAACAATGCAAAAGCAATGTGCAACCTATATTCTCATTGTTAAGATTTTGCAAAAGTCAATGAAATTGTGACAAATCTGCGGTTTGTTCATTACAGCAATGACATGGAGGGAAGAGCTTTCCCAAGGGGATAACAGCTCTCTCCTTCCTGAAGGCTTGCAAGGTAGCTAGCTTCAGATAAAGTAACCCACAGTAGATACTATTCACCTTACATCATTGTTCATCCTATGCACAGAAGAAAAATCGAGTTTCATTCAGAGGAGCTACAAAAGAGTCATCTCAACTATATGGCACAAGTGCCCACAGTATCTTACCAAATACGTGTCTTCCTTTACTATTGCTGTTGATATTTGTGGGCAGAGCTGACAAACAAATGTTCTGCTCAAGTGCAAAACAAAAATTCCAAATCCCTCTATAGGCTGAAACTCTCTAAACCAGGACTCCTTGGTCCGGCAACATCCACAGTCCAGA